TATTGCACTTTTATAACTGTTCCATTTGTATTGTTTTATTAGTGCATTTTATTATCTCTCCTAACACCTCTGTTTTCTACCTGTGCTCCAAAGGAGATGGATGATGCACATCCACTGCAGTATCAAGAGGTGTTTTCTTTCCCATAACCAATTTTCAGCTAATTTAATACACCTGATTTTCCATATTCTTACAAGACTGAGTGATATAATTCTTTTGAACAAGGAGGCAGCAGCACAGCATGAATAAACCCTCTGCAGCTTCCCAAGGAGATAATACTGCTCAGTGGCAGCTTTAACCTTTCTTTTCCCCCTCATTTTCCCCCTGTCTGATGTCTATTTTTATCCAGTGATCTTATTTGAGAAACAAAATGAGTAAAGAACGTTGCTATTCTTGGAAACCCTCCAAGAGGCTGGGATGAGAGATGGGAGATAGGCAGCATCTCCCTCAAAAGAGAGTTTTGTGCTGACAGCCAAAGTTATCCTCACAGCAGGGCTGGGAATGAGATATTGGAGTGTCATTTCCTTCAGACAGAGATCAGCTTGGCTCAGGACCACGTGAATGGACAGAGATTCCAATCAGCATTCAGGATCACCCAGAGATCAGATTCAAGATCACCCAGAGATTCTATGAAATGCCGTTAAAAAATAAACCCAAACAACTTTTTCAGCTTGGCCAAGGGCTGGGATGTGGAGTTCAAGCACAACCCCGCAGTGATTCATGGAGGAAACGAAGCCTCCAGCGAGGTGATTCATCCTCACGGTGCTCAGGGTGTTTTGCAGCCACCTCAATTTACTGATTTTGCATTTCCATATCAACTGCTCTCCACATGTGCTCACATGTTCATGTGTGGGCAATCAGCTGCGGCTCAGAGGGGGCTGGAGAACCCTGCAGCCACTGGGGTCTCTCATTGAACATAAAGGATCTTGGAAATCATCTCATTCCAGGCTGGATGGAGCTCTGAGCAACCTGGGGTAGTGGAAGGTGTCCCTGCTCATGGCAGCAGGGGAGATGGGATAATCTTTAAGTTCCATTCTTCCCCAAAACCCTCTGTGATTCCCTGATTCCATAAGAAGCCTGACAGCATCCCTGCTGTCAATGGCCCTCAATTAGGGTGATGGCAGGAATCACTCAGGGTAATAAACCTCATATAATGGCTCATTTTGTCTCTTAGATCTTGGTGAGGTTCTAGGAGTCAACCACATGGATGTAAACATGGCTGATGGCTTTGCCAAGAAATGGACACAGTTCATATAAACCCAAGAATCTCCAAAGGCACCTACACTCTTCACCCCCTGGATTTCAGTGGCAGCTGGATGCCCACACATCTCTCAAAAGTGGGGCATTATTGTCTTTGATAAAGGTTTCAGTTGTCACAACTTCAGTCAAGGGTGAATTTCCAGTGACCCCATGGATGGGTTCTCAGCTCTCAGTGAGTTCATTTCCTTTCAGCCCAGGAGCAGAACAATAAGTACTAACAATGGGCTGGGATGTTTTGTACTTCTCCTGACAAAGGCAATCACTTGCAATATTTACCAAGAAATAATTAGAGCTGCTGGTTTTGTGGTTGGCTTGTTTTCTGCCTCCTTGCCCTTTTATGCAAAACTCTTTACTCCAGAGGACACAGCTCGTGCCAATGCAAATTTGGGGCAAATTTAACTAGTTAACCTCTTGAACCAGAACAACACTGGTCAGAAGACATGAAATAGTGAACTGTGCTCTGGGAATCAGCATCGTACCGCAGGCGAGAGTGTGAAAGGTGTGCAGGGTGATGTTATGTTTGAAAACCCAACACCACCTCTAAGCCAGAACACACAGCCAGAGTACCCCAAAACCCTATTTAATGGGGGGTGCCCCTGGATCCCTGGCAGTGCCCAAGGCCAGGCTGGACAGGGCTGGGAGCAGTCTGGGGCAGTGGGAGGTGTCCCTGCCATAGCAGGGAGTGGGACAGGATGAGTTTAAGGTCCCTTCCAGCCCAAACCAGTCTGGGATTCTGTGATTATAGGACCTTCCCAGCGGATTCCAGCTTTCCAGCTCACCCTGTGGGTTTGCAGTGCTGTGCTCATGGGCTGACCAGGTTTATCTCAGAAAGCACCAGGTCTAGTTTAACCTGGATTGCACTTGTTTGCACAAATTTATCCCGTTTTTTCTCACTGATATTCACTGATCTCTTTTCCTTTTACAGCCATCACCACTACCTGGCTGTTCCTATGTGAGTTTAGCACAGGGTTTTTTCTGTTTGAAGAGGTGACCTGAAATCCAGGTGTGAATGTAAAAGCCTAAGAGCTCGCTGAGAAATGGGCTCTCCTCATGACACCACACAAAATTACATCCCACAAACTATACCTCCGTTATCCTCTGGAATATCATCTGCCCCACTGAGGGATTGATCAGTCACAAGCAGGAGTTGCTGACTGCCTGCTCTAGAGTCACTGCAATACATTGGGAATTTGGATTTTCCTTCATTTCAGAACTGTCACGTTGTTGAGGAGGGCTGGGGAGAAATTACTTTGGTAGGAGATCTCCATGTGCTGCTTCCCAAAGAGTGGATTTCCTGGTCTGCACTTGATGCGTTAAGGGGTCAAATGAACTTTCACAGGCAAGGATTTGTAAATCTTTCCATTATAATAAAGATTAATTTCCAGAACTAGAAACCTCTGCTGCTCATGGCTGTTCAGAAGTTTTGCATCCACCAAGAAGGTGAGGGTCTACCTCATCCAACCTGCTAGGTCTGACCATTTTCTCATCCCTTTGTCTCTGCTTAAAACAGGTTGTGCCTGTTCCCATGGTGATAAGGGATGCTGTGAAAAACACAGCATTGCAAATCTGTACAAGCCTTGTAGTGCTGTGCTCCGGTGATTCTATTAAAGATAGTGGTAATGATAGGGAAATGCCACAACTCGGCCATGTCAGGGGTGTAAAGAACAATTGGATTAAAATTGAAAAGTTCTACCTTTTATCTAGGAGGCCACGAGCCCAAATCAGAGGAAACTGGAGAATGCACTCAAAAAATGTCTGGGTTTTTTGTTCTGGTATTCTTCCCAAGGAATTTCTTTTTGCTCTCTACTGAAGACAAGGTTCTGAGCTGGATGGACCATTGGTAAAATCCTCTTTGCCCTCTCTGATGTCCTTGTAATACCAAATCGGGATTAGCTGAGACAAATAACCCAGGATTTATTTCCTTGTTAAATAAATTAACTGGTTTGAATGGATGTGATTCAAAAGGGGACACACAACCAGCTGGGACACACTGATGGAAAAACTCAGGTGTCTTTTGACTTGGGCTGGCCAGAAAGTCAGGAGTCATCCCACAAAACACATGCAGGGTCCTTTAACACTGGAATAGAGTAGGAATGTTTCCAGATAAATCTCACTTGAGTTCTGTGCAAAGCCAGGGTGATAGCCCCAGGCCAGGATGAGATAGAAGTGAGCAGTAATTCCCTTATTGCAGATAAAACTGTGATTATTGACACCCTCTGTGAGCACATCCCAACCTCTGCATTCAGCTACTTCAGTGTCACCACTTCCTTTCTGCCCAGAACTTGCACCCTGCATCAGAATTTATTTCTGACACATTTCTGTGTAATTCTTCAATGAAAATCTCACCCAGGTATCTCCAGACCTCCACAGACAAGGATAGTCATAGAATTACAGAATATTTTGATCTGGAAGGGATCCATAAGGACTGAGTCCAACTCCCTGCTCCTCCCAGGAGTGCCCAACACCAGCTCCTATAACCAAGAGGATCAGCCAGAGGTTCCTTTATCCCTGGACAGGGTTAGTGCTGTGGGGAGCCTATTGGAGTGATCAGGCACCCTCTCAGGGAAGAGCCTTTCCATGATGTCCACTTTGAACTTCCCCTGGTGCAGCTCCACTCCCTTTCCTCCTGTGCCACCTGAGGGGATCAGCAGCTCCTGCCCTGCTCCTCTTGTGAGGAAGCTCTGGACTGCCATGAGGTCCCCTCCTCAACCATCTCTTCTCCAGCCTGAACAAACCAACTCCCCTCAGATGTTCCTCATAAGTCCTGCCCGTGGTGCCTTTTTCACCACCTTGGTTGCCCTCCCTGGACACACCCTCAGAGCCCAATGTCCTTGTCTTGCTGAGGTGCCCAAAACTGCTCCCAGCACCCCAGGTGAGGGGCAGAGCAGGTCCATCTCCTTCCTTTGTCCCCTGGCTGCTGATGTGTCACTGTCGAGCAGGACAGGAATGAGAAGACTGACTCAGAAGCTGCTGAGAGTAAAACTCCAGTTTATTCAAAATACACTGCTCTTTTATACAGAGCTTTGTGAGGACCAACTCCATTGGTCCTGAAGTGAAAACAACTCAAAGCATTGGTGCAGAGTGCTTGACACACAGTGATAGAACTTAACTATAAACAATGTGAACAACAAGAGAGATAAAGAATTATTTACATTCTTCTCCAGCTCTTTCCCAGGCTTCTGCCTGGATAGAAACTCTCAGTTTCTCTCTTTGACTGAATCTGAGACCCACAGTGATGCTGTGCCTGGAGCACCCCAGGGCACAGTGGGGCTGCCCAAAGGCCACGTGTGGATGCAGAGCTCTGGAGGTGGCTCCCTGTTGGGGGGCAGCAGAGCTTTCAGTGCACAACAGGAAGGCAGAGCTCGAGACAGACTCCCTGAACACAACTGCAGCTGCAGGGAGTATAAAATGAAAGAGAATTTGCATATCTCCCCATTTCACAGAGCCTGGGGCGGGGGATCTGCTGTCTGTGCACCTTGTGACATCAGAAACCTCGGCTGCAGCGCAGGACCTCGGCGGAGAAATCCCTGAGCAAGAACATGAAGCTCCTTCCCCTGCTGGCAGCTGCGTCCTGCCTCACGCCCCCGGGGCCCTCTCTCTTTGTAGAGCAAGTGATGAAGTTTTTTTTCCAGATCACATGAGCCAGGATGAAGGGGGAAAATCCTGCCAGGAGCAGAGATGGGCTGCAACTTGAACCTGACCGAGGGGAGACACACAGCAGTGCCTGGAGAGCTATATAAGAATGTGCCAGGAACAGGAGCAAACACTTTCTCAGGTGAAGGACTCACATGAATCAGCCATGAATGTGAATGAAGACACTGTTTCCAGGAGGCTTGGAGCCACTAACAAAGTCTGTTTGTATTTCATCATCGCCATCCTGGGTGTGTTGCTCGTTTTTGCCTTGGCCACGATCATGGTCCTGGTCGTCCAGAGGACGGTAAGAGATTGATTAATTGCTCTTCTCTCTTCTCTTCTCTTCTCTTCT